TAATAAAAAACACAACTATGAGGTATTGGATAATATTTTAGGCTATTCATCCAGTTATCAATTAGATAAAAAAGATCAATAAAAAGTCAAGAAAATATCTAAAGCAGGTATCTATCCTCAAAAAATACTTTTTACTATCTGTCAAAGCAACCCAGACAGTTTAGCAATCTCAAAAACTATCTATAATGCTCGAAATAAGATTTGATATAACAATCTTCAAGGTCACATACCAATTCAGGCTCTTCTTAATAAGCTTGTAGAAGGGAATTTTGAATATTATTATCAATATAATCAAGATGAACATTTAACTTATTTTTTTTTGCATATCCAAAATCAATTACACTTACCAAAACATATAATTCTGTTCTCTTAATGGATTGTATATACAAAACTAATAAATTTAAAATATCATTGCTTCATGTTGTTGGCATGACAAGTTTTAACACTATATTCTCTTTCTGCTTTGTATTCTTGAAATTAGAGCAGGAAGAAGATTACAGATAAGCTCTTAATTGTGTTGCTTACATTTTAGATAACACTTCAAAGCCCCAAGTTATTATAACTGACTGCGAACTAGCTTTGATGAATGTAGTACAAACAGTGTTTTCTGAATCACACAATCTTCTATACATTTGGCATATCAATAAAAATATGCTAGTTAACTGTTGGTCTTATTTCCAAACCAATAACAAATAGTCAAAATTTATGAAAAGCTAGTCCAACCTTATAAAGTCTAAAAAAGAAACTGATTTTGAAAATAACTAGGAAAAATTAGTAGAAAAATACAATAAAAAACAAACAGCTATTAAATATTTGAAAGAAACATAGTTATTATTTAAACCAAATTTTGTAAGCTATTGGGCAGACTATTATTTGCATCTAGGTACTTAATTTTTTTATAATTATAATCTTTTTCATTTTGTAATTCATTTTTTCTTTTCCTTTTGATTCTTCTTTTTCTTCCTCTCTTTTTATTAATTTTTTTTCAGTTCTATTTTTATTTATTTAATTTTTTTTAACCTTCAAACAATGTAATAACATCGCAATTAAAAGGAGTTTATGTGATGCCAAAGATATATCATCAAGTATTTATAGATAATCTTTATATTGTCAATAAAAAAATTTCTTTGGTAATAGAGAACCAGGATCAAGAAATTAAAACCAAGTTCTCTCAAGAAATGTTTTAGAATCCCAAGCTCAAAATAGCTAATTCTATATGCAGATTGTTTTAAAAGTATCTATATATGCATTAAAGAAAGTTCATGAACAATTTTTAAAAGCATCTAATGCAATACCAGAAAATCTACTATGTTCTTGTAGTGGTACCTTTAGATCATCAATGGGTCTACCTTGTTTTTACACAATTCAGAATCTTCTTAATAATAATGAATATTTATAGCTTGATGACTTTCATCAACATTGGTAGATCCAGCAATGCCAATTGTCTCAGCAAGAACTATCTAAAACTGAAGATTAGTTACAACAAAAGTGAAAAGATTATAGCTATCAATTTACCTCTTTATCAATTCATCAAAAAAGTATGGCTCTGAAAAAAATAACAAGCTTATTTCAAGAGTCAACTATAAATATACAAGATCCAGAGATTTAACAAACAAGAGGATGCATAGTGGGTACAAAAAACCTTTCTTAATCATCTACTATAAGAGATCAATCTACCTTTGAATTGATGTTGTTAAGAAAATGTGGTATATATCGTAAGATTGGGCATAATAGTAGAACATGCTCTAATGCTAAAAGCTTAGATAAGAATAGTTATAATAGGAGATGTGGTATATATTATGAGACCAGGCACAATAGTAGAATATATTCTAATATTAAAAGTTTAGATGAAAATAGTTAGACTTAATTAATAATAGATAGTAGTTTTTTTCTTTTTTTTATATAAATTAGTAAGAAACCTATAACTGATAGGATACCTGAGTTATCCTATATATATATTTTAAGTATATTTATAGTGATTTCAAATTATATATAGTCTTGAAATCGGATTAGATGAAATTTTAATTACATATATAATAAAGGCTTGTTATGTGATACATGTGATCAAATATTTTAATTGGTAATACTTAGAATGCAATATAGATCATAGTGGAAATAGCAAATTGCCATAGTAGAAATAGCAATTCCTTTTCTATAATATTAATTATATACTGAAATCTGAGCAGAGTCAAATAAAAAGTATTTTTTTATTAAGTTAACAATTAAAGTCAATTAATTAAAAGTTGTAAAGCTCACTGAGATGCATTTAATGGTTGTTAGATCTTCTAAATTGGCCTAGTAGATACTGAGTTATTGCTAAAAAACCTTTGGCTAACTATATAAAATTCTATATAAACAAACATAAAAATTTTATATAGTTAGCCAAAAGTTTTTTTAGTAATATCTTGGTATCAACCAGATCAATTTGGAAGATCTAACTACTATTAGATGTGTCTCAATAAGCTTTACAACTTTCAATTAATTAACTTTAATTATTAACTTAATAAAAAAATACTTTTCATTTGACTTTGCTCAAATTCTAGTATATAATAAAAATTTATATTATACTTATTTTCAAAATTTACTATTGTCTCAATATAGAGGACGGCTAAAGCCAGGTGTGGTCATGCAATGATCTAATTAGAATAGCTTTGACAAAACCTCCAGATGGCTACACCTATCAAGTAAATATTTGTTCTCATGAGACTTCACTAGTATATAAATACATTTATATATATACGCCAAAATGCAATAATAGCAAAGCTAAGTGAAAAGTATTGTCGATTATCTTGTATATAAAAAAAAGCATATTCGTACAAACGATGTATGTATATTGAAGGCTTTTTTTTTTTCTTTTTTTTTTTTTTTTTTGCAAAATATGGGTATTTTTATTTAATAAATCATTTCTACAATAAGTATTAAAAAAGATCAAGATGTCTATATATATATACATATAATTGAAAAAGACAAGACAACAAATATTTATATAACCAAGTGCTCAACAATAATTGTATTAGAGTTAGAGGCTTTTATTATCAATACTTTTTTTTTTTTTTTAACTGTACTGTTGCAGTTTTTTTTTTTTTTTAAAAAAAGTAATTCAACAATAATTGTATTAGACTTTATCATCAAGATGCACTTCTACACTTTTTTTTTTTTTTCGAACCTTTTTTTTTTAAAAAAAAACTGCTACAACAATTTTCTTTTTTTTAAAAGTGTTTAAAGACAAACAGTATTAATATGAATCTAGTTGTTATACCTGCTTCCAAAACTTTAACCCAAACCAAAGGCATCTTCTCCTTTTTAATGTTGGTGAACCATTAAATATTCCCTTACAAGAATTTGATAATAACTAGTGGTCTCTCATCTTAAATACAGTTTTCTTCCTCTACAATCACCTCCTTTATAATCACAACTCCTATATTATCACACAAATTTTTGAATCAAAATTTTTTTATATAAAAATACTTCTATATAATCACAAATAGAATATAATCACTATCACACTATATAATAAAAATAAAATATATTTATATATATATTACCCCTTTATAAAATCATATTTCAAACAATATACTACATACATTAATATGAATGCACATATCTTTAAAATAAATATACAAGATTGTAGAATAATGATAATTTGACAAATGAGCACTTGCTGCTTGCAGCATGTATCAGCTATTCTTAGTATTGGTATTATTTGGCAATTTATAATCATAAACATGTTTACATCATAACACAAAAAATAACAAGAAATAATTTTATGATTATATAAGTTTGTCGGATAACATATACTTATCTAATTCTTTTTGTTAACTACAGCAATCACTAGGTACATATATACATACTGTACATATATAAATAAGATTTCGTAAATATTAAGATTTAAAAATTAATGTTATTTTTGATTATAACTTTGTGTTTAGAATCAAAATAAAAAAAAATTCATCGATTTGATTAGATGGTTGACAAATATTTTCAAAAATATTTAATTATATCCTTAGCAAATTTTTTGTAAACTTTGAATAAAGATATCTAGTCAACTACCTAACTAAAATCAATGAAATTTTTTTATTAGATATCAATGCATAATTTTACTAATCTGATAAGTAAATTGCTGTAGGTTCTAAATTTGAGAGCTTGTGATTTAGATAGAGATATGAAAATCCGGTCTGACTTCAAAAGTCAAGTCTTTATTAAAGTTCAGTCCCAAGTCATACTTGAGACTTTGATTCATATCTGCATATGTATCTAGTATAGCAATAAAATTGTAAATGTGTATTTTTTATGCTATATTAGTTGCACATGCAAATGCGAGTCAAAGTCCCAAATCTGACTTGGGACTGAACTTTAATAAAGGCTCGACTTTTGGAGACGAGTCAAAATAGATCAGATCTTTAGATTCTGAGTATTGCAGTAACATAATAGTGGAAATTTAGTAAAGATTGATATATATAATGGTATTGTAGATTTTGTATTCTTTATATATATGGTTATAACATACATAGTTATTTTTACACAGTTAAGGAAATAACATGAGGCAAAATGATTATGAATGTGACTTAAAATGAGTTGAAACTTCAAGATCTAGGATAAATTGTAAATATATAGAATATTGGTTCTTAAGATCGCTAATACATGTTGTACCAAAGACATTCTCATGTATTGATAAATCTAACCAGAAACTTAAGATTGATAAACTTTCACATATAGTTTTACTCGCAGCTAAATAAATACATACTAAAAAATTCTTAGGTGCCAATTTTTTTATTACATGAATCCGCTATTCATTACTATTCTAACTATAACAATATTAATTTTCAAAATAAAATATATAATTTCAGCAAATATAATGCCATATTCAGAAATTAATTACCTTATTTTAATAATACTATGTATTGTAAACTATATTATATAGTTACTGTATGCAATATACTGCTTATATATTTATTTAATGAACATAATATTTTAGATAACAATTATATTTTCTGGCAAAACTATTTAATAATTTGGTTCTCATAATCATCAGGAGAACTATCGTAATTATCAGAAAGCCCGTTATAATAGAACAAATTATTATTATCCAGAAAATCATCGTTACTAAAAAAAACATCATTACCGTTGTCATCCGAAAAATTATCACCAGAAAAATCATTGTCACCAGAAAAATTATTACCAGAAAAGCCATTTTTATCATCAAGAAAATCATCATTAATAGCCATACTTTGATTAGCTATTTTAAAGAATTCTGTAATAGATTTCTGATTCATAGACTTGGTAACTTTTCATTTCATTAATGGTAAGTATTTACAAAATACTTTTAAGTCATTGTTATTGAAAAAACAGTTATCGCATATTTGTTGTTTAGAAAACAAGATAAAACTTTTTAGCCTAATTAATTCTTCAGACGGAGAAATTTTTGGCGGTTCTTCATCAGAATCATCTGGATCACCCTGTTCATACTCTAATTGTTCTGCTAATACAGTTTCAACAATCTGAGTATCATCCATTGTTTCTTCCATAGAAATATGTGTATTATTAGTTTTTCTGTATACTTCTATTTCTTGTGCAACTATTGAATCTGGATCTTTGGTAAGATCAACTACTAATTCATATATTTCACTTTCTTCATGTTTAATTGATTCAAGGTACATATTTTGTGCAAGTTCAACATTAACATTTGATACCAAGAGTAAAATACCAGTCTTCGTCCAACAATTTGCCATTGTTAACTTATCAACTTCATCACATGAAGCTGCTACATAATCGATAGCTTCTTTAATATTTAATTTATTTCTATCATAACAGAAAATAATAAATTTTAGTTTATAAAAATTACATTTACTGTAATTTTGAATATGCAATATATTTACTTAGGATCCCGAATATCTAGTCCCCTTTCAAATTGATCTAAGATATGTTGAATATATTTTTTTTGATATTTTGCCTTGAAACATTTAATAATTTCTACATCTATAGGTTGAAGATACAAGGTAGTAAGAGTGGGCAAAAATTTAATTTTAATATTTGTGAGTTGATAATTAGATAAATTAGGAAGTGTATAAACACTCACCCGGCCTTTGCCACACTTGTCTTTACTTTGTTGAACAGTATCATAACCATGGCCATGACCACCACAACCACAACCATGACCATGAATCAGAAATCTATTACAGAATTCTTTAAAATAGCTAATCAAAGTA